CCTTCATGGATGGTCCTCTTAGCAACACACACAAGGATGTTCTGACAAACATCTGTTTCACCTCTGTCATTTTGCTTCTAAAATATGATCACATTTCTAATTCCATTTAATTCTCAGAAGAGCCCCGTGAGCATTGGTTATCTGCATCACTGTTTCCAGTTCATGGATATAGACCCACACACAGAGACTTCAGAAGCATTCTGGTTGCATGTGGACCATTGGATAAGGAGAGGAAGCATTTGGTCCGCAGGGTCTCCAGATAGGTCTCTGACATGTTCCTGCACTTATACCTTCAAGCACATGCACAATGCTTCAAAGGCTCGCTTCCCACTGCCAACAATGATAAGTAGAAAATAGGAGTATCAGAGGAGTTTCTGGGTGGTCTTCAATGGAAATATGCTATCCCATGTGCCCATAACTGGGTACTAAGTGACAGGCAGGTGTGAAAGTGGTATGTTAGCATGGAGAGAACTAGGGGAGGAGGTACTGGGCATGGAGCCAGGGTGAGAAGTCAATTCTCTAGATTTTCAGGCAAGTACCATTTTTTTTAAATTAATCTCACTAACAGATGAAGGCAACAACTTTTACCATGGAAAATTAAGTGAATGTCAGATCAGGGGTTTGGTTTTCCCCGTGACAAATATAAAGACTCATTCCATGCAGTAATCCAGGGAAAGGGGCGGAGTGTCTAATTACATGCTACTTATGTCCCTCAGTGGGTATTTTGCAATACTTGGTCACTAATAATTGGGTAAAATGAACCAAAATCTCAATTTAGCCAATACTAATATTTCCTCAACAGTGGGCTGAAGAAATAAGGAATAAATTTAGCGTCTTAAGAGGTAAAAAGAGATTATTGCAATGCTGTCATTTCCTAAGGAGAGAGAACAGATGGATAGATTTCCTGCTGTGGTGATGTGTGGTCCAGAATCAGCAAAGAAGGGACTTCCTCATACAAGTATGTGTGATCAATGCAAATTCTCTTGGGCAGAAGCCTGGGACAGTAGTATATTTCCCTTAGATAATGCTTGATATTGTTTGAGAACTGTTACTCTACTGCATATATACAGCCTTAGCTGGTTTAACTCTGCTTTGAGCAGTCAGGGATAAAGAAAGGGCTTGATCCATGCAGAAGTTATTTTTACAAACCAACTCACATCTTTCATGTACCTATGTATTAGAGTGAAAGACATTAAGATAAAGTTTTTAATCTGGGGGCTGGAGAGATAGCACAGTGGGTAGGATTCTTGCCTTGTATGGGGTTGACCTTGGTTCAACCTCAGCATCCCATATGTTTCCCTGAGCACTTCCAGGAGTGAGAGTGCAGAGCCTCTGTGTATCACCAGGTTTCGACCCCCCTCAAATGAATCAGAAAAAAAAACAAAAAGAAAAAGAAAAATATTCCCACTGTCTTTAGCAAGCCATTTGATGATGGGTAGCCTTAAGTGAGAAGCAGAAAATACAGACCTTGGTAGCCTAGACAAGAAAAGATGAAGTCCTAGATGAATGGGATGATTCACAAAGAGTCAAAAGCAGAGTTAGTATTCAGGGTAGGCCTTATCTTGTGGATTGCTGCAGTGTGGGAGGGATGGTACACAGGCAAGAAGCAAGGTGGAGGTGGATGAAAGCAGAAAATCTGTATTGGCTTACTTCCCTGGATACAGATTTTCCTTTTGTGCCTGGGACTTCCTCTCTCCTAATCAAAAAATTACTACATATCAGAATGTGATTAACTCAAGATAAATTTGCCTCTATTTCTAAATGTTCAAAGAGCACCCTGAGTGACATTGGGTAAGAAGCATCATTTATAAAATAAAAGCATAACATTTAGCATTTAGTTACAATCTATCTGCAACTTAGAAAGAAACCCACATTACATTGGCGGGGGGTGGTGGTGAGGAGAAGAGGTAGTATAGCTAATAAGTCTACCACATATGGTTCCTTGAGCACCAGCAGGAAGGATCCCTGAGAACAGAGCAAGAGGGATACCTGAGAACAGAGTCAAGATTAATCCCTGAGCACAGTGAATAAGGCCCCAAAACCAAAACCAAAACCCAAAAATATATACCAGGATATACATAGCATAATAACCATGTCAATTCACAGCTACCAAGCAGTGTTACCTCTTTATAGAAAGACTTGGGACACATGGAAACTCAGATACCATTACAGCTCTGTAGAAGGCTAACAGAATGTTGGACTACTAGGTAGTTCTGGACAACTCAGTATTATATTCGAGGGCCTGCTTGACTGACCCACTTCCAGGATTGCCCATGAAATTAGAGGCACTTGAATGTTTCTACTTAATATCCTCTCTTCTTAGAGGCCAAAAATATCTCAGTATGCACTCATGGAGCAGGTATCTTTATGATAACCATCTTCAAGAGTTGACAACCAACTTCTGTTTAGAAACAACTTATTTTATTGATGTATTGATGATCCATTAATGGAGATGATTACAAGGTATTGAACCAAGGGCTAAGGTTTTTTTTTTTTTCCCGCCCCTCCAGGGGCTAAGTTTTAGAGTGGATAATAGTGCTGAGAAGTTAGGGTGGAGAGAGAGAATTGAAAGGTTGGAAAGCATTTTTCCATGCTTCCAAATATTTTATCTCACATTTGAAGCTTGAGCCCCACTGAATTTATCCACTGTGATTATTACTCTGTCATGTATCTTAGAATTATATGAGTTTATTTAAGTCATTAACTCTGGGGTAGAAAGCACTGTAGCACTGTCCTCCCATTGGTCATCAATTTGCTTGAGCAGGCCCAGTAACATCTCCGTTGTGAGACTTGTTACTGTGTTTGGCATATCAAATACATCATGGGTAGCTTGCCAGGCTTTGCCATGCGGGTGAGATGCTCTAGGTAGTTTGCTAGGCTCTCTGAGAGAGGTAGAGGAATTAAACCCGGGTCGAACTAGTCAGCTGTGTGCAAGGCAAACGCCCTACCTGCTGTGCTATCACTCCAGCCCTTGGGGTAGACAGTGCTGGGGTAGAAAATCATCTAAAAATAAAGCTAGGCTACCTGTACTTGATCCTACATTATTATTTCCAGGGCAATATTGTCCACATTGTGTTTAAAAATTTCTTGAGTGTTTTGCTTTCATATTAAAAATCACAGTTCCAGATCGTATCTCCTTCTCTCCCGGAAGGGAGCATAAGATGACACTCGCCATAACCATGCTGCTGGACCCCGTCCTAGGCTATCTCACTCAGGGCACTCCAAAGTGGTGGGGCAAGTGAGAGCCCTCCCCACCCCAAGGGACCTAGCCCCAGCAGCCAAAAACCTCCAAAACTCAGAGTTGACCACCACGAGTGGCTCTCCGGCACAGCCATGGACCCAGAAGCACACAGACCTAATTTGGAACCCAACAGATTTTGGTAGAAATGTGAATGGTGCCGTACCCCCCCCCCCCCCACAGGAGGGAAAGGGTATCTGTCTCTTCCGCCTTCTCACCCCCTCCCCCACGCCCTGCGGGATGGTGGCTACCTCAGAGCCTATTGGTGGCTGCCTCAGAGCCAGGTATGAGCTGGCGATAATGGAGCAACTGGGGCTCATGGTATGGGGGGGGGCGGAACTGGCACATCATTCCTGCCCCACCGAGACCACAAATTGACCCCCTGCCCCCATGAGCAGCTCTCTGGCATGGCCATGGCCCCAGAGGCACACAGACCTAATTCAAACCCAGCAGCTTTTGGCAGAAATGTGAATACCACCTCAGAGCATATTGGACAGCCAGGTATGAGCCAGAGGTGATGAGGCAACTGCGGCCTCATGGGATGGGGAATGGAACCAGCAAGTCCTTCACGCCCCTCTGAGATCACAAGTTGCCCCCAACGAGCAGCTCTCCAGCATGGTCATGGACCCAGAGGCACACAAACCAATCTCAGAACTATGTGGCTTTTGGCAGAAATCCCTCCAGATTTAATTAGTAAAATATCAGAAACCCGATTGTGTGGCTGCTATTTTGGCTGTGCAACATCATATGCTCTTCATAACCAGCAATAGAAAACAAATTATTTCACGATGCCTTTTTAGCAGGTCTGATTGTTGGGGGGAAATTCCAAATAATAATGGTGCATCTTTTGTCGAAATAATGAATGTAATCAAAGTAGAGAGAGAGTTAAGTGGAAATCATCTGCCTCACAGGCAGGGGAGGGGTGGGATGGGGGTATATTGGGGTTCTTGGTGATGGAAAATATGCACTGGTGAAGGGAGGGGTGTTTGATTATTGTATGACTGAGATTTAAATCTGAAAGCTTTGTAACTGTTCTAACCGTGATTCAATCAATCAATAAATAAATTAAATAAATTAAAACAAAATAAAACAAAAATAAAAACAAAACCTCCAAAACTCAACCACCACTGTACTCAAGGTGGCTCTTCACATGCTCTGGCCGAGCCTCACCCATGAGTGAATCTATTCCTGGACCATGTGGCTGCATTTGTGGCTGTGCAACACTTCATAGAACACACCCTACCCATACTACAACAGTACTACACCGCATTTGATGGGAGTTCAAAGTAGTAAGCAACCAATCATAGAAGGAAATATATATATGTATATATATATATATAAAAGCACACAAAGGCTCAACCTTTAACAACATGTTAGTGATTTTTTATAGAAGGTCTTAATGGCCCCTGTTGAAATAGAAAAATATTCACACTCTTTCCTCTAAGGATACTTTTTTGTAGCATTTTCAGTGGTTTTTCCATAACAAACAATACAAAATTATTATTTTGGCTCTACTTTGGGACAGGGATTGGGATTCAGGATAGGAAAATCTGAAATATGGTGGTGGGAAGGTGTTGGGATTGGTGTTTGAATATTAAATGTAATCAAGTATTGTGAACTACTTTATAAAATAATAAAATTTTAAAAAATCACGGTTTCTACTCCAAAAATTTTACAGAATTATAGACCAATTGTAAATCAATAAAACTGTTTCTTAAAAAAAAAAACCAAATAAACGATCTTTTTTATCTCCACTTCCAACATGACCAAAAAAAGAAGAAACAATGGGAGAGCCAAAAAGGGCTGTGGCCACATGCAGCCCATCTGCTGCATCAACTGTGCCCTTTGTGTGCCCAAGGTTAAGGCTATCAAGAAGTTTGTCATTAGGAACATTGTGGAGTCCGCAGCAGTGAGGGATATTTCCGAAGCCAGCGTTTTCGATGCCTGTGTACTTCCCAAGTTGTATGTGAAGTTACACTACCGTGTGAGTTGTGCCATTCACAGCAAGGTGGTAAGGAACCATTATTATGAAGCCCTCAAGGACCAAACGCCCCAACCAAGGTTCAGATCTGTAGGTGCTGCCCCAAGACCTCCACCAAAACCCATGTAAGGCAACTACTGAGCTTAGGGATTGAAGACAAACTCCTTTCGAGGAAAATAAAGTGGAAATTATAAAACAAAAAACAAAAAACAAAAACAAACAATCTCATAGCTTTGAAGGTTCCCTGGGTGTTCAGGAAGTGCATGGTGATCAAAGTTGGCTTTGCCACTAGGCGACTGTATCTGGAATGTGTGTGATGAACTATGGATGTCTCATGAGGGTTTTCTGAGTAAGTGGGAAATTCCAGTAACATCAATTAATTTCCTTGCGCTTCAGTTTTTTCATCTCTAAAACAAGAGAAAGCAGCCGTAGTGCTTCCTACTGACAGGGCCAGGGTGGGATAAAAATGAGGTAATGGTTTTTTAACACACTTTAAAAGTTAGAAAGAAGTTCTGCAGAAATATGCAGTTACTACAGCAAGTTGAGTTGGAAAAGTCCTGTGAGCAGACCTAGAAAATCTTGGGACTTGTCCAAAACAGTCCTAAATGATAAATCTTGGTAAATCTTTTATCTTCCTGGAGTCTCGGATATCTCATATGTAAACAAATGATGATAGAATCTGTTTGCTTCACAAGACTGTTTTGAAGATCAGTGGGTGGATTAAGAATTGTTCTGTTCTGATGAGCAATGGAAAAGTAAGTTAGGGCTTTCCAACTTTTCATGCTTGTGCTCAGTTGTGATTTTGAAAACATTTTGCCCCTGGAGAAGTGAAGACTTTATGGAGAGTCCCCAGGCTTGTTGATTCTACCTCCTTCCTTCCTGCCTCTAGTCATCCATACCATGTGTTTCCCATTAGCTTTTCCTTTGCATTCCCCTTCTGGGCCATGTTCCTTACAGTCATTTCTCACCATATCCCAGATGTGAAGTCTCCACAGACTCTCAAAATGTTAGAATTGGATGGCATCTTTGAGCTTACAAAACCAACTTCCTTTCTTATACATCAGGAAGGTCATGCAAATCATCTGCAAACTCAGAATCAAAATGTGAGTTCTGTATTCTCTTCCTAAACTTCTTTTTAGTCTCTTTGAATGCTGCACACACAACCTTCATTTTGTTACAGAAAATCCCATCTCCCAGGGTTCAGTTAGAAAGCTACCTGAAAGCTGTGCTGTCTTTCTAGGCACATCACGTATCTTTCAGAAAGCCAGTCTCAACATTGTCTTTGTGACAACATACAGCCGAAGAGAAGGTCCACATGGAGGGCGGGAACCACAGATCCCGGAGAAAAAAAAAACAGGTTCCAAAAAGAGCCGAGATCACCGGGAAGTCCCAGATGGGGTAGGTACCGCATCCCGCCTCCCCCAGATGGAACCCCGGTGACCAGAAGCCTCTACAAGTACAACTCGAGTATGCGGGAACTAGGACTTTTTCTCAAATCTGCCAGGACTACAGCTCCCAGGTAACCTCTGATTCCGGAACTCACGCCCACAGCCCGCCCCCCTCCCCCCCCCCCAGCATCTCTCTATATACAAAGTGATCAATGGGAAGTAAACTACCCAACCTTTCTCCCTGAAAATCAGAGTTAAGTTTGGAGCACGGCCACAGCCCCAGAAGCACAAGGACTTAATGCAGAACCCAGCAGCTTGGAGCAGAAAAGTGAATGGACTATGCGTTAATCCAGGCCATCATGTCTGCCCAGAAGGGAAAGGGTGTTGTCCCATTCGCCCTCTCTTCTCTGGAAAGAAAGATGGCGGCCGCATGGGAGCCTTGTGGACAACAGGTATGAGCCGGGGGTGTGGGGGCGACTAAAACCTCATGGGAAGGGGGGCGTTCCGGTCCGTCCTTCACGCCCTATCGAGGCCACCAGTTGCTCCCCACGAGCGGCTCTCCAGCACGGTCACAGCCCCAGAAGCACAAGGACTTAATGCAGAACCCAGCAGCTTGGAGCAGAAAAGTGAATGGACTATGCGTTAATCCAGGCCAACAAGTCTGCCGGAGGGGAAAGGGTGTTGCCCCATTCGCCCTCTCTTCTCTGGAAAGAAAGATGGCGGACACATGGGAGCCTTGTGGACAGCAAGTATGAGCCGGGGGTGTGGGGGCGACTAAAACCTCATGGGAAGGGGGGCGTTCCGGTCCATCCTTCATGCCCTACCGAGGTCACCAGTTGCCCCCCACGAGCGGCTCTCCAGCACGGCCACAGCCCCAGAAGCACAAGGACTTAATGCAGAACCCGGCAGCTTGGAGCAGAAAAGTGAAAGGACTATGTGTTAGTCCAGGCCATCATGTCTGTCCGGAGGGGAAAGAGTGTTGCCCCATTCACCCTCTCTTCTCTGGAAAGAAAGATGGCGGCCGCATGGGAGCCTTGTGGACAGCAGGTATGAGCCGGAGGTGTGGGGGCGACTAAAACCTCATGGGAGGGGGGGCGTTTTGGTCCGCCCCTCACGCCCTACCGAGGCCACCAGTTGCCCCCCACGAGCGGCTCTCCAGCACGGCCCTGACTCCAGAACACAGAAACCAATTTCTTAACTATCTGACTTTCAGTAGAAATACTTCCAGGGTCAATAGGTAAAATAGCAGAAATCCAAAACCAACATTTAGTTCTTGAACCCAGCTGTAGAAAGCAAATCACTTCACAATGCTTTTTCAGCATGTCTTATTTGGGGGGGGGGTAAACTCTAAATAATAGTGGTGAATATTTTATTGAAACAATGAATCTAATCAAAGCAGATAGAGTGTTAACTGGAATTTATCTGCCTCACAGGGACTGGGAGGGGTGGGGGGGTGGGGTTTTATTGGGGTTCTTCATGGTAAAAAATAAGTATTGGTAAAGGGAAATGTGTTTGATATTTGCATGACTGAGACCTAAACCTGAAAGCTTTGTAACCTTTCCCACAGTGATTCAATAAATAAATTAATAAATAAAAAACAAACATTGTCTTTGTTTAGCATGTCCCAAATACACTGGAGAGAGGCTACTTATTCTGTTCCAGTTATAGCTCACTCTTGAGGAAAAGTGAAGATGAATATGGGACAGAAAAATCCTCAATCTCATTGAAACAAATCTGGGTGAAATCACATCTAACAAGGTAAATACACACAGAGTATTTAAATAATAACCCTGAAGAAAAGATGAAAGTGTGTCAATTATTAGGACTCGTGGTCTCTCTGTTGTTCAACCAAACACATCAAATTAGACTTACTGCATGTCATCCTGTTTGTCCTACTTAAGATAGTTGAATAGACATGGTAGATGTTGTATTTGTGGTATATTTAGCAAAGCAATTTTTAATGAAGAATTGCTTTGACTGTCAGAAAGCTTTTTTTCTAGTCCTAAGGTTGTCACAATATGTATGTCTCTGGCCAGTCACATTCTGAGTTGAGATTTAGTGTCCTTATTAATAAAACTAGTAGGATAGTTTAGATGATCATTAATGAAGCCTCTGGTTGAATGTTCCAGTGCAGCTCCTCAGTTAATGCATTTGAGAACATGTGAGCCTATCAGTATTAGTCGCTACCCTGAACTTCTATATATAGGTACTCCAGAACAAAGGGTTCTGACTAGGTTGTGAGTCACCCATAAAGGAGGGGTTATTACCCTGTCTTTCAGCTACTGTTTGCTGACAATTCACATAACCACCTTTTGGAAGGACATGATAATACAGTGTCTGGATTGTAAAATTGCTCATAAAACATTATGGGATTCTGGGAAGTCTGGGTCTCTGGGTCCCTGTAAGGATAGTGCTAGAATCCAACTTAAGCCTGAGTAGAAAATAAATAATAAGCTATTTTAAAATGTCATCTTTCCCCAAAATGGAGCACAGAAAGTGAAGATAAATGGAAATATTGCCAATTACTGTTTTTCCCAGTAAAAAGTGGTTAAGATATCTAAATGATGTGGCTCATGGGAGTATGGGATATTAGTGGTGGGCTTCCCATCCCTGACAAGAAGGAAACTTGAGACAATGGAATCAATAGGGAAGTTTGGAGGGAGGAGAATGAAAGAGCAGAACTAAGAGATGGGGTAGCCAGGTTGGGTCTGCACATTAACCTATACTTTAATGAGTCTACACACAATAGTAAAATAAAACCTGAACTTAAACGAAGCATATGTTTCTACAAAGTCAAACGCCCACTATTTAAATAGAAACCCAAGGAGGTAAGTTCAAGGAGAGTCCACAAAAGGGGTGAATGAAGAGATGCAAGGTTGAGGATGTCAGGTCTTACTGGGTTGCCCTTCCAGCCACCTTTTATGTGTGACAAAAAGCTTGGGCTCTGTAGATGTATCAGGGTGTTTTGGTCCAAATGGAATGACCTTCATTCTCTCTGCAGGCCTAAGCTTCCCAGTCATTTTATCTTCTCACTTTGGGGAAGTTCTTGAATGTAACATCTTTGATTCTGTCCCTTCTCTCTGGGTTCAGTTCTCTTGACTTTAATCTCCCACCAGACTCTTCATTGACCCTCTCTTTTCCCAATCAGCTTATGATGTATTCTCACATCCTTCTTTCCATGGACTCTTTTTGCTTTAACGTCTAAATATATCAATGGCACCAAATCGTCCTCATTTTTGAGAATTGCTTGTCTGCCCTTTTATTCACTTAAAACTTGCATTTCTTCTACTTGACTCTTTTGTTGATCCCATTGGATGTTTCAATTCCTAATTGAGGCCAAAACACTTCTTATGGGGGAGGTTACTCTGACTATTCAGCATCGTGTTGCTGCTCTTATGGCCTACATGTTGTCTTCAGCACTGGATTGGCAGCTGATCTGCACTTCTGCCCTAAGGATTGAGGCCAAACCCTTCAGTCTTCCCATTCCTTGAGACCTTAATTAGGTGTCTTCTATGTATTAGGTGAGTAGAGTATGATGGGTTAATGAATTATGATGATCTGATCAGCAATATAGTCAGTTAAATTTGTTATGCTGGTTTGATTTTTAATGAGAGAGAAGAAAGAGCAGTCATTTTAATGCATAGTTTTAAGGAAATGTAAGTAAAAATTGACTAAAGGCCTTTTCTTAAAATATAATTACTCAAGTGATGTTGTTCACCTTATTTTTATGCCATTCTGATG